TCTCTCTCTCTCTCTCTCTCTCTCTCTCTCTCTCTCTCTCTCTCTCTCTCTCCTTGCTGATCTGTGGGCCAAGATCAAGGAGGGGGCGCCTAGTGTCTAACGATGACATCAGAAGGAGACCTGGGAGGGGGGTGCCCTGGTGTCCTGGATGTGACTGGACCCTGCCCAGTTCCCCTTGGCTCTAGTCATGCGCCCATCTCCCTAGCTGCTGTGAGTGCAGGCTGCTGGTGGCTCATGATTGTCCCTGTGTCCAGATAACGACCCTCAGCTGCAGAGTAGCCACAGTAGCCAGGTAACCTGGAAGCTTCCTCTACGGTCCTGCCTCCAACCTCAGCAGCCTGTCACAAAGGTCACCTTAGTCAGCTTGGGCTGCTATGACAAAGCACCAGAGACTGGGTGATTTAAACAACAGGCACTTACGTCTCACCGTTCTGGAGACTGGGAAGTCCAAGACCAAGGCGCAGGTAGATTGGATTCCTGCAAGGACCCACCTCTCGGCTTGCCATGGGGACCAGCCTCACATGGAAGAGAGAGAGTGATCTCCTTCTCTCTCTCTCTCTCTCTCTCTCTCTCTCTCTCTCTCCTTGCCCTCTCGCGACCTCATCTAACCCTAACTAGCTCCCTAACAACCTCCAAATACCATCACATTGGGGGTCAGGGCTTCAATATGTGGGTTTTGGAGACACAGTCATCTCATAGCGCTGCCGACCTAGAGGGTGACAGACCCGTCCCCTTGTCTCCAAGCAGGATTTCCTCAGTGTTGCAGGGCCTGGTCCAGAGGAGCCCATGGACCAGGTTTGCATGTCCTTGACAGAGGCTGCCCCCTCGCTGACCCTTTCCCACACCCCGCCCGGCTTCCCTCAGGCCTTTCCTGAAGCCCAACACAACACTTGAGCAAAAACAGCTGTGTTTAGAGAACGCAGCCAGAGCCTCGGGTTCTTCTGTCATCAGTCACTCCACATGCCGAGTACAGGCTGCGCACGGCCTCCTGGAGGTGCCAGATGGGGACAGTGACACGGGGCCCCGGGCGCACATCCCAGCTCTGCCGGGGATGGGAGTCAAGTCCTTCAGCCTCGAGGAGTCCCGGTTTCTCTTGGGATGGCAATGACGCTGCCCCATAACGAAGCCCTTGGAAAACCACACCAGAACTGGAGAAGGCTGGCTGGTGTGCCTGTCAGAGCCCTCCACATGCAGCAATTCTACCCCTCACTTCTTACGGGACACCCAACTCTCTTGCCTTCTATTATGGGTCAAACTGTGACTCCCACAAAGAGACAGGCAAGGTCTCGTCCTGGTACCTGTGAACGTGGCCTTATTTGGACACAGGGTCTCTGCAGATATAGTCGAGTTAAGATGAGGTCATAGTAGGTCAGGGTGACCCTATATCTGACCCCAGAGATCCCAGGTAAGAATGCATGTGATGGACGAGGCAGAGACTCAAGTGATGCCCAGGGACTCCACGGACGACCAGCAAGCGGCAGATGTGAGGAGACAGGCATGCAAGAGACACACTCGGAGCCCCGCCAAGGGAGCCCGCCCTGCTGCCCCTTGATTTCTTACCTCCAGCCTCCAGCACCTGAAAGAGCCAATGTCCTGCTTCCTGCCACCTGGCATGTGCTACTTTGCCACAGTGGCCCTAGGAAACAAATACCGCCCCATTCCCAGGCGTGTCCTGGGGTTGCCTGAGAATCACTGGCTTGTCACCAAGACTCTGGAAGGGCCAGAGCATATCTATGATTAAGGGGCAGACATTGACCTTGAACTTGAAAAGCACCTGAATCCCCATATCAGAACAAAGACTCCCCAAGACCGTCCATCAGAGTACTCTACCTAAACCACAAAGAGAACCAATAAGATGGTGGTGGGGGGGGGAAGGGATTCAAGGAACAAAAAATGAGGTGAAGAGTAACTTAGTGTAGAGTACAGTACATAAGAGCCAGAGAGACCTGGGCGAGAAAGCGTATGTGACTCTCTAAGCCCACTTCGTACTGGGGAGAATAAAAACGCTTTCCTCATTAGAGCTGCTGAAAAATTTAAACAAGGCACTGCCTCTAAGCGCTCTGCATTAATGATGGACACATTAATAAACGTTAGCTGTTGTTTTATTATTACCAATGGTGTGAGCTCTTGGCAGTATAACTTATCTGAGCCTCGGATGCTTTATTTATAAAGTTGACAGAGTAGAGAGAGATCTTTCAATGTTGTTGTGGGATTGGAAAAGAGAACATGAAAGGATTTGTGCACTGTGCACCCAATCCTTTCTAGCTGCAGCAAATTTTTGAGTTGTTGTAGTTCCCAGATGTTGACACTAGAGGGAAGAAGAGCTTCATTTTTTGAACCTTGGGTACCAGGTGGTTTAGACAGTGAGGGACGGGGACTGTTTTCCTGGGTCCTGCATATGCAGGATTTTCCCCTGGGCCCCCCTAGCATCCTCCTGGGAGGCCAAGCAGATTCTTTCTTTCCTCCCATGTGATGCAGTGCACGTTGCCTAAAAGCTCACTGGCCTTCACAAACTGCAATTTAAAAGAGGAGTTGTATTTTACCAGGATATTTTTTCGACTTTCATATGGTTTAAGTAAAGCCCTTCCCAACTCCGGGCTCAGCACATCAGAGCTATGGAACCATTCTGAGACCTTAGAAACAAACCAATTTTTGCAAAACATCACTGCCTTCCATGACTAATATTCTAAGTTACGGATTCATAAAATCTTGTTTATATTAATTAGTTATGTAAAGTCTACAGCAATTTGTGTCGCAAGCCTACAAGAGAGAATTCCTTCAAAGTTTTAGTTCCATCTGCTCTGCTTTTACCATGGCTTATGGCTGAGCACCCGCCAGGCCAGCACAGCGGAGTTCCAATTTTGCATGAGCCAAGTCTGTCTTGAGGGCTCACCTCGTGAGCAGCAGACAAAACCCTTTTTCTTCGCCTGGTCTCTGACCTCCCCACTACACTGTATTATCCTTCTTTCCTATTAAATATTTTAAACAGGCAAAAAGTATCCAGAATAGCATAACAGCGACTACTAGAATGACCTCCACTGGGTTAAAGAAAAACATTTAAATTATATGGAAAGCCCCAGGGTGCGTCCTGGATTTCACACCTCCTACCTCCTCCTCTCCAAGACATAGCATTCTCTGAAATTTGGTGTCAAACATCAAGACTATGGTCTCCCCCCTCCCACCCCGGGCTGGAAATGCTTAGGGAAGAACCAAGCATCCCTTCTCTACTACCTGAATAAAGGAAATAGAATTGCACTCTGAAGATATTGAGAGAAAGAGTGGGAAAGAGGGAAAGAAAGGTACTGGAGAATCCTGTGAAAGCTACAAGCCCCTGGAATGTACCCAACACAGAGAAAATTTCAGGTGATGGATATGCTAATTGCTTTGATTTGATCATTACACATTGTACACATGTGTCAAAATATTACACTATATTCCAGGAATACACACCGTTATTATACGTCAATTAAAAAGTTTTGAAAAGAAAGTCAGAAGTCCAGGGGGCTCAGGTGGTCCTCCTCTGAGCTCAAGGTCCCAGAGGGGCTTGGAACATAGTTTTGAGGGCGTACAGTTTCTAAGGACACCCGCTGTCAGGTACAGGGGGCATCACAACCCTCTGGCCCCTCTGACCACCCGACCACCCACCATCCTCCCTCTTCAAACACCCAGGTCTAGCTGGGCCAGGACCCGGGGGAGGGCCACCTACCGACAACGATGAGGATCTCCCTGTCAATGTGGGCCTGGATGTAGATGCGGCCACGGCGCTCCGTGTGGTCAGTGCCACAGAGGCTGGGGACGTTCATGACGCAGCGCTTGTGGACATTCATCATGCAGGCTGCGAAGGCAGAGAGAGAGGGCACGGCTCAGGCTGGCTCAGGCCGGGACCCCGACATCTGCCCCCACCCTCTGAGGCCGGCTGGGCCTTCCTGCTCCTCTCCCTTGGAGGCAGTGACCAGCCGGCCCTGCCAAGATCTCATCCAAAGGCCTCTCCAACCCTCTCCCCAGTCCCCACCTTCAGAGTTGTCCCAAACTGAGGGCAGAGGGCCGGGCCTTCGGCCACCCTGGCACGGCCGTGAATCATCACTGTGACCACCACTGCATCGGAGGGTGTCACCTGGGTGGTTGGGTCGGGGGGGACGGAGAATCCGAAGAGGGGGTCTAGGCAGATGACCGCGACCAGAAATGTAGGAAGACCCAGAGGAAGAGTATAAGCTGAATGTGGCCCTTCACCATCGTATGCATCCTGTGACCCACAAATGTCCCCTTCCGCGTCCTCCATGGTGTCATCCATGTCGCCTCCGGTGTGGTGGGGGGAGTTCCCTAAGTCTGTGCAGCAGGGGCCGCTGCGGGATGGTGACCGCGTCCTCTGGGGCGGGGCGGAGTCGCCCCAGGGGGCATTTCGGGAGACCCCAGGGAGCCACAGGTACGGAGGAGCCCTTCCCAGCCAGCCCAAGCCCCGGCACCGCGGGAAGGTTGCCAAGTGCGGGAAGCTGTTGTGCGGGGAGAAGGAAGTGAGCCCCCGGGACCCTGCCGGGAGCATCAGCCCCGCGTCCAGGGGTCCAGGGCGCGGTGATAAGAGGAACGCTCCTGGGGGACAGCGCACCAGGGTGGCCGCTTGGCCTGCGTCTCGCTGGGGGCGCCGGCTGTCCCACGGGTGTCTCTGCAGCCCTCCCTGTGTCTGCGCCATCTCTGTCCCTCTGTCCCCGCATCCGTGCGACTCCCTTGGCTCTGATCCCTGCTCCTCTGTGCCCCTGGCCCCCTCAGCTGCCCCAGGGAGCAGGTCTGTCCCTCTCTGCCCCTGCGACCGTCTCTTCCTCTCCCTCCATGTCTCGCTACCTCTCCGCCTCTCTCTCTCTCTCTCTCCCATGTGCCTTCCCGTCTCTGTCCCTAGGGTCTTCTCCATCACTAGGCCAGTACACACCTCTGTGTTGGTCCCAGTCTTTCTGTCTGTCTTTCCTTCCGCCCGAGGCTCTCTCAGCTGAGCCACACAGCATTGTGTGCCTGGCTCTATGTGTCCCTCTGTCCCTCTGGGTCTGTCCATGTGTGAATGGGTGTGTGTCTGACTCTCGCGCTCTTCACCCATCCCACTCTCTCTCTCCTGCCCCTCTCTGCCCCTGAGGGTCCTCCCGCTGTCCTCTGGGCCTCAGGACCCCTGTGACTGTTCAGCTGCACAGGCCAACTGGCCCCTGGGAGCCACCAGCTCCTGGAAACTCCCTGCACCTCTGCAGCCACAGCTCTCAAGCCCCAGAGGCCACCAGACCTTTGCTTAACATAGAGGAGTCTGGCAGAGAACCACGCGGCTCCCCTCTGCCCGCACAGACCCGCGGGTGCTGCGGGCACAGGGAGGTCTGCCCTGCAGAGGAGCTCGGCAGCCTGCCCACGGCTGTTGGAAACATCTGTGGGGCTCAGCTGCAGGAAGGGCCTCCCTGTGGTCCACACCATGGACGATCCCCTCGCCCTCGGTGCACCTTGTCACGTGACTTGCTGTGACCAACTGGGCAAACAGACACCAGCAAAGACTCCCGTGGGCTGGGCCTCCGCAAGCACTGAGAACCCTGGGGCTTCAGTGGGCAGGCCCAGGCCAGCCTACTGACCAGCAAGACCTGCGGCCAGCAGTCCCGTCACCCAGGGGACATCCGGCCATCCTTCCGGAAACCTGGAGGAGGGCTTGCAAACCCAGATGCCCCCCAAGCCCACTCACCCACCCCATCTGCATGAGTAAGCTCAGCCGCACCCACTGAGCCTGGCCAGACCCAAAGGCCTGCCGTGAGCAGCCATGAGCTAAGTAAACGGCCTTTATTTAAGGCCACTGTGTGGTGGGGTGGAAGGACCATCACGTGGCAATGGATAATGGGTGCACCAGCCCCTCCCGGGGCTTGGGAGAATGTGCTACAGACTTGGACCCCAAACCATGAGGAAGCAGACCTTCCCGCTGCCTCTGCCTGTCGTAGAGGCTGCCTGAGAGAGCAGGTACTTACTGTCACATTTCATCCCCTGGTGGATGAGTCCGTACAGCAGGGACCCACAGTGGTCACAAAACGTGGGGCTGGAGTAGGTGTGGATCTTAAACTTGTGCTTGCTCCGGGGATCCTAAGGTCAAGAGAAACAACAACCAAAAGAAGCCAGTCAGTGTGGGAAGCCCAGGATCCACGCTATGCTGAGTGTCACTGGAGAACTCACCAAGGACGGAACGGGGGCTCCCTGGATTCGTCACCTGATGATGAATGGGACCTGAGCTAGATCCCTGGGACAAACGGTCACCAAGGGAGTGAATAAGAGCTGACCACTCCAGCTGCGCCCCAGCACACACTCAGCCTGCAAATCCTCCAACTGACCCCCCAAGGACCCAAGTGACTGGCTCCTACCTGTAGCAGGGACTTCAGAGGCAGCAAAACAAAGTGACAGGCACAAGGTTTCCTATTTCCCCCCTTCCCTTTATTCTCCAAACAAGTGCTGGAATGATCTAAAACTCGAGTCTAGGCACAAAATCCTACCTAATAATAATAATAGCCCATCTGCCAGTTCCTCATCACCCACAGAACAAAGTTCAAGTTCAACCAATAGTCTGCCAACTGCGGCAGACACCGCTAGGTCCCCACCAACATCCATCCTTCCCTCTAATAACAGAACCTGGAGATTTAGCAGAGGCCACGGCCAGCCAATTAGGACCACATTTCCCAGCCTCCCTTGCAGCTTGGGGAGGCTGGGCAGCTGGGTTCTGGCTCCTGGGATGTGGGTGCTTCCGGATCATTCCCTTCCAAGGAATGAGCGTCCTGACCCCTCTCCTCCCTCCCTGCTACCTGGGAACTGAAAGTGACCCACCTGGAACCCAAACTGGGAGCCACGAATGGAAAGGACAAAGCCACCCTTTCAGCCTTGGACTTTGTCCCTTTGGGCTGACACCTGAGAGAACACGTAGCTTCTGTCTTGTTGGAGTCACTATGTTTGTGGGGCTGTTTATTAGAGCAGCTTAAACGTTTCCCTAACTAATGAGCATGTTGCAACCTGGCAGTGTAGCGCCGTGGTTAAAGGTACAGACTTTGGAGTATCAACTGCCTGGCTCCTTCTCAGTCTCATGCCTCGGGGCAAGTTACAGAACCTCTTTTTCTGCTTCTGTTTCCTTGTCTGTGAAATGGAGATAATGATAGTGCTCAGACTATCATTATAGGGTGAGATGGTTGGGAAGAAGGGATGGATTAGCTCATCGAGAGATTTTAGATCCACCTGGCACATAGCAAGCACTAGAAGCTTCTGCATTATTATTACTATTACCCTGGCACATAATAGCTCCTGAACCGCAGCTCAACCAGCCTTGTCTCCATTCCTGGACAGAGACCGAGTCAGACATCAGGTTCCTAGACAAAGCCCCCTGCCCTGTGCCATAGAACTAAGTTCTCAGCCCACAGAACTCCTTCACCCCCAAATGAGCCACACCCCCTATCAGCCTCGGGCTGTGCGCCTCCTTGCTCTTTCCAGAGATGTTCTACTTCTCTCAGGGTTCTAACTACGAAACTCCTTCTTTCTCCCAACCCAGTGCAAAAGTTGCTTTCCCTGTGAAACAGTGCAAGGCTCAAGTTAATAGCACACGCATTAGGTTTGCCCCCCAAAGAGCTGATCTGACACCCCAGTCTTTGCTATAGCTACCTCTCTCTTCCTCTATCAGCCAATGCACAGGTCCTTTTGCAGGTGGAGACGTGTGCTTGAAATTTATAGGCCAGTAACAGACCCAGAAAGCGAACGAGGAAGCAAATAAATAGATGCAATAATAAATAAATAGATACAATAATAAATAAATAGATGCAATAATTAGACACCGTCTTATGTGCTATTGAAATGATGAGCAGTCCTCCTAAGGAAACTGCTATTTTTAAATTTTAAAAATAGTCCACATACCTATTAAAATTGCCAAACGTTTAGAAAATTAAAACAAGTATCAAGATATCCAGAGGCTCAGGAGTCTGAGGCAGGAGGATCACAAGTTCAAAGCCAGCCTCAGCAAAAGTGAGGCACTAAGCAACTCAGTGAGACGCTGTCTCTAAATAAAATATAAAATAGGGCTGGGGATGGGGCTGAGTGGTCGAGTGCCCCTGAGTTCAATCCTCAGTACCAAAAAAAAAGTATAGAGTATCAGTGAGAAGATGTTTTCTTCACTAGAATTTTCATACAGGAGGGAAGAAGTGTGAATGGCCAAGGCCCTTTGGAAAATAGTGTGGCTGCTTCTCATAAAGTTAAACATACTCTTTACGGCACACAACCCGGCAATCTAGACCCAGGTGAAATGAAAACGTGTGTCGATCCAAAACCTGTATTTGAAGACTTAGAGTCATTTTGCTCATAATAGCTCCAAAGAGGAAACATAAATTGTGGCACATCTACCCAAGGGAACGCCTCTCTGCAATAAGAAGGAACATCTTACAGACCCGGCAACCACCTTCAAGAGCCCCCAAAGCACCTGCTAAGAGAAGACGTCAAACGGAGAGGGCGCTGCGTTGCATGAGTCCGTTTACAGGACGTTCCAGAAAGGGCAAACTATGGGGACAGGGAACAGATCAGTGATCCAAAAGGGTCAGGAGTGGAAAAGGGATTAAGCAGAAAGAGGCGCATCTGGGGACTTCTATTAGTGATTAGAATGGTCTAGTAACTCGGGTGAATTTTGCTGTTGTTAAAAATAAAATGAAGCCGGTTGCATGAAAAGCTGTCTCAAGAGGCCTCCCTGGAAATCCCCAGCTGCTGCCGGCCTCTGTCACCCTGCGTCTTCTTCATGAGCTGCAGTTTCTTTCAACGCTCTGCAAACCTTTGAGGTCAGAGAGATGAATTGTTGGCCCTTGCAGAGCTCTGGAAGGCCAGGCTTGAGAGGCTGGTCCACTCTGCTCTGGCCGGAAGTGTCCTGCAGTGCTCAGAGTATGCAGAAGGACCCCAGCAGCCACCTGTCCTGCTCACGGTGCTGCCTTAGTAACAACAGCAGAGCTTGGAAAGTGCCAAACCAAATCTAAAGGCTCCTGAACAGCAGCTCAACCAGCCTTGTCTCCATTCCTGGACAGAGACCGAGTCATACATCAGGTTCCTAGAAAAAGTCCCCTGCACTGTGCCATAGACCGCTTCCTATCGTGTCCCTTGAGCATCCACCTTAAGGTTGGGGATGCCAGCTCCAAATCCACCTAAAAAGAAACCCCTGGTATTGGCCTGTAGGGGGAGCTCTGGGCTTCTTGCTGGACCCTACTCAACTTCCAAGGAGGAGGAGTTTCTCTCTGGTAGGTTAGATTCTAAGACCCTGATTGGCCCAGGCCCAGTGGGTGGAGCTTGCACAGGAGTTAAAAGGCAGGCTCGCCATCTTTTTCCCTCACCTCTCCCAGGAGGCTGCTGGGATCAGGTCTCTTGGACCCTGAGAAGCTTGGCATGAATGGCCAGGGCCAGCTGTCCTCTATGGTCTGGGGACGTTCTCTCTCTCTCCTCTTGGTTTCTGAGGTCCCCTCTGGGTTTTTTGACATTGTTAAAGTCAAGGCTTTTCTCTCAGTTAAGGTTTGACTCTCTGTAGACCTACCTTGTACCCAAGAAAACAGCTCCTTTAAGATTTAGGAAGAAATCCCAACTCACCATACAGGGCCTCTGTGGGTTTTCCTGCAGGTAAGCATGTCTTTGCCAGATCTCAGGGAGAGGGGTTCAAGCAGTTCTAAGCAAATACTATCAAGAGCCTTCTCCATCTCCACATATCGCTTCCACAGGACATATCGAGAGTCCCGTAGAATGGGGAGGGAAGAGACAACCTGTTTGCTGAGAGCTGCATGTGAGTGCTGGGTGTCTCAGATTCACTCCAGTCTTCGGGACACACCACGTGGAAGGTGTTATTTGTTCCCATTTTAACCATTGTGAAAAGGGCCTAGGCTGAAGAGTAACTTCTCAAGGTTGCCTGGCTGGTCCCCCGCAGAGATGTGCTGATACCCAATTTACTCTCCCTTCCCCCCTCTCACCCCACTTTCAAGCCATTAACACTTCATCTCCCAAGGAGCAGCTAAAACAGCGCTTCATTCATTCATTCATTCATTCATATTCACTCACCCAGTTAACAGAGGGCCAGGTCCTTCCTAGGTATTGGAGATGCATTTGTGAAGGAAGGAGACAGACTACCTTATCACAGGAATAAACGGGAGTGGGGGGAGGGACAGGGAGAGTTGTGTCCTCCTCTGCCACATCTTCCACATGGTCTCACTTAAACAATCCAATGATTCTCACAAGTTCGATTATATAGGCAATTCTGCTAAGTGCTGTATCCCCGGGGCATTATTATATTTGACATAAAGAAGACGCTCAGTCAATATTTAATGATTGAGAGTAATGTGTACTGAGCATTTACTCACATCAAGAGCTGTTACAGGGGATTTATCAGGCATTAAAGCATTCAGTCCCCACCACGTCCCTATGAGCTACCTATTGCTTAACACACCCGTTTTACAGATGGGGAAAGCCAGCGACCAAGGGTGACATGGCTTCCCAGCCTCAGCAAGTACATTGTTTCTCAGGGCAGCTGGTAACTAAGAGGTCAGCGAGATGTGCAGCAGCTGTAAAGCCGGTCATCACTGTTCATCTCTGAGAGTTCCTGAGCCAGGCCCAGAACTGTTACAGAAAAAAATGTGCTGTTACCGAAAAATGACTCAGGACTGCACAAGACTGACCAGAGCCAGATAGGGTCAGTAAAGTCAGTTAGGCAGGTTGCAAGTAAAAGTTGATTTCCTAGCCAGGTGCAGTGGCACACGCCTGTAATTCCAGGGGCTCAGGAGGCTGAGGCAGGAGGATCACAAGTTCAAAGCCAGCCTTAGCACCAATGAGGCCCTAAGCAACTCAGTGAGACCGTCAAGGGCTGGGATGTGGCTCAGTGGTTGAGTGCCCCTGAGTTCAATCCCTGGTACGAAATAAAATTTTTAAAATTAATTTATGGTTTATTTAGAGGCTGTGGGAGTTCAGTCCCCGAACTCAGATTTCACCTGGGCTCAGGCCTGTAAAGTATCGACTCCACCCATCTGTCCCGAGACCGCCTTCAGACCACCCAGGTCTTGCCCCCAATCAATTATGCCCTCCTCCCTCCTGGAGCACAG